ACGGTTTTCCACCTTTTTGAGAATGGTTCGCACTTTTTAGAGAACGGATATTTTTTATAGTTGAAATGAGAACGGATGAACGAAAAGAGAATGGTTATATTGTTTTGGAGAACAGTTTTGAATTTTTCTGACGAAATTAAAAATAAAGCATGTGGTATAAACTATGATAACTACAGCAGAGAGGTGTTAGACCTAGACTGTACATGATATGACTGTAACACGTATTCGTGATCAATTGTATCATCTTGTATTGGGAATAATGATGCATTTTGGATATTATCATGTTCAAAATCCGTCAAAATTAGAAAACTTTGGTAGAAAAGAGGTCGATCAAAGAAGGCACGCTTGATATTTTTGAAATAAAACACGTTATTTCATACATGGAAGCATGTTATTTGGTTTTTGTTTCAAAACTGACTTGTTTTTTGACTTTTTTGAATAACATGTACATTTTACTAATTCGATAATTTGGAATTCATGATGACTGAGGACGAACATTGTCAAAGATCAGGAGACTATATCACATATGAATCATACACGGGAATTCAAAAACCGTTCTCCAGACAATGTTAACCGCTCTCTTTTCGTTCATCCGTTCTCGTTTCAGCTATAAAAAATGGCCGTTCTCTAAAACATGCGAACCGTTCTCCAAAAAGTCGAAAACCGTTCTCTTTTAAATTCTCGTCCCTTTCTTTGTAAGAGAAAATGAGCTTGCAAAGTGTTCTTGTGATTGTTCGGAGACGTTCAACGTCTCAAGAACACTTTGAAGAAAGTTTCTGACTCACTTTATCTGGACCCTAACACTGACATTTTACAAAACAGTTGGTAGTACTAACGGAAGGAAGGACGTATCATTTATTTGTTTTTTTTACTTTTCAAGGAATGGCAGTAGCACGTCGCGTACAGTCATTTAATATTAAAAAGATTCTTTATTGTGGTAACAGAGAAAAAAAATTTGATAAAGAAAAACAAATAGATCAAGAATTATTTTCATTTGTTCCGTTTGAACAATTAATCAAAGAATCAGATTTTGTTCTCATCACATGTTCATTAAATGAGAACACAAAAAATTTATTCAATGAAAATATTTTTAAACAAATGAAAAATGATTCAATTCTAATAAATACATCACGTGGTGGTATTATTGATCAGCAATCGTTATATAATGCATTAGTCAATGGTGAAATTCGGTCAGCAGGTATACTTTTGTATATGAAAGTGATCTTCTTGCAATTTTTCGCAAAGCATGTAAAAAAGTAGATGAGAATTTTATACGTAAAAAGAACCCATAAGACTTTTCCATCATGTTTCATCTTTGCTGCGTCAGAGTCAGAAGTGATGACAAGAAAAAACTTGTAACGGACTAAATTGGTCGGTTAAAATTTCTAACAAGACTCAATCTTGTTCGAAATTTCAGCTGACCAATTCGAACCTTGACCAATGGATGAACCTCCAAGTTGGAGATTCATCCGGTTTAAGCGAAAGGAAAGTTTGTGTCAGATATCGATTTATGAAATAATATCATTTGCAGGATATGAAGACGCTAAATACAGGTCTGTTTTAATATTTAAAGGTCTTGATGTGACTGTACCAGAACCATTGCCATTGGATCATCCTTTATTAACATTGAAAAATTGTTTAATATTACCGCACATTGGTAGTGCTGAAATTCAGACACGAAATGATATGTGTCAACTTGGTGTTCAAAATTTAATAAATTTTTTTGATCAAAAATCAATGGTACATCAAATCAATGTGAACTGATGAAATGTGTAAAAAGTATTTAACTCTTTTTACTAGAACGTCATAATGAAAAGTATTATTATCCATCTCAAAATATAGCGTGCTCCATTGCTTTTCGAATAATTATTGAACGAGAGCACTTAAGAAATCTCCCCTTTTCAGCTCCTGAGAGCAGACATCGAAGAATATAACTGTATGGAAAAGTTGAGTTATAGCACCACTTGCACGTGGTGTACATCTTCAGTCGTTCAAGCACTAGGACATGAACTTCCATTGAATATTTAATTCTTATACCATCAGTAGAGAAGCTAAAGTGTCCTCTATCGTTCAGCACAAATTCAAGTTGCTAGCTCTCATGATCCGAGAGGAGCTTCGGTTTTGCTGCAATTTACCTATCTCTATTCAATCTGATTCTGTACTTAAGATTACTAAAAAGCATCTGGCATTTTGTTACTTAAGAAAATTTCTAGAAAGCTTATCCAGGAAACAAAGAATATTCTATCAGTTCTTAAAATTTTTGTTCAGTCATATTGTAGATAATGAGAAAACGTGGTAAGGAGTGTCGATCGATTTTCAATGAAGTTTGAATTTTTTGATCTTCCGTGAAAATAGCCAGTAAAGGATTCTTTCACCTAATGTAAATTCTTACTAGGTTCTTGAATTTTCTTCTAAAAACAAACACTGCGAAGAGACTCAACTTGATGGTTAACTTATGTCTCGAGCGTGGAGTGTCATGAAATCCAGATTTTTAAAATCCGTATGTTTTTAAATCCGAGAAGACTTTTTATCCAGAAATCCTACTCACCCGTGCAACTCAACCCGGATGCAATTTTATCCGGATTTAAAAGTCCAAAAAATTTTCGGAGGAATTTCCCTTGACCAACTCCAGTAAAAGGTATTCTGTATGAGTTTTTCACTTCGCAATAAAGAGCAATGCAAGTCCGATTGTTAATCAGTTGTATATTAGTCACTCCAAATTTACTTTGATAGTTAAGGTACTAGTATTACTATTTTACTCTATGACTTGCATTGCTTTTTATTATAAGTGACAAACTCATCTAGAATTTTTTTGCCGGACTTGAGACGTCTTTAAGAAGCTACCGGAGTTGGTCGAGGAAATTCATCCGTAAACATGTCATCCGGACTTCAACATGTCCGGATGAATCGGTTGCTGGGCATGCTAGATTCTGGATAAATAGTTTTCTTCTAGTTTTCTACTCTCGTTCAATAATTATTTGAAGAACAATGGAGCACGCTATATTTTGAAACAGACAGTGCAACAGTTTTTATTAGCAAACCCAGTCTGTTATTGGCACTAGTATAAAAATGTATTTCTATACTACAATTGTAATTTCATAAGATTATTTTAAAAAGTATTGAGAACAGAATAGACTTTTTGTGTCGAGAGCGCACATACCTCTCCAACGCTTCTAATTCGGCTCTTCACAAAGTAATGATTTTGTGATTAGTGCTCGAAGCGGTCGTAAACCAATTTATGTTTAAACAATTACGTTGTTTCTCAGGTTTTGTGAGAAATGAATTATAAGAAAATGGCGTCTCAATTCATTTCTTCACTGGCTCCATCTCCATGTTTGATGATGCCAGATGGAACGTCTCTTGCTCTATCGACCCGACATCTTAATTTTCAACTCTGATAAACTCATCAAAGAGAAAATCGCTAAATGGTGCCTTGATCCTGTGTCGACACCAGTAAATATAGGAAAATGCCGTGGCGATCCGTTTCTTCACCGGCTCCATCTCCATCTCTGATGGTTCCGGATAGAACTTTTCATGATCTAGCGACTGCATGACTTAGGTGTTATCAGTCAATAACTTGATTTGAAGTCTTTGGATTATTTCAGTACCAAGTCTAGAATCGTGAAAAATCCATATCCTAACCATGTACTTTCTCCAAATACTTATTTTAATTTCCTAATTACCGGGCTTTGGACAACAATAAATTACGAAGTTACGGAAAGTTGCGTTTTCATCGGACTTTCGCCGTATCCGGACTTGAAACTTCGGCAATTTGCCGAAAGTTCGGTTTTAGCTGTCAGTGATTTTCAATCCAAGGCGCGACTCTCGGCAATTGCCGAAAGTTTGGTTTAAGTGGTAGAACGCAATAACTAGTCATGTTTGTAACACTGGACCTTCGGCAATAAGTAATTTATTGCTGTCTAAAGCCCAGTAATTAGGAAATTAAGATAAGTATTTGGAGAAAGTACATGGTTAGGATATGGATTTCTCACGATTCTAGACTTGGTACTGAAATAATCCAAAGACTTCAAATCAAGTTATTGATTAATACTTTCCTCTTACTTGTCATATCAGCAGCTATCTTAAAACAGCTGCTGTTATTATCACAACAAATTTAATTTCTACCTTT